AGGCTGCTCGTGTGGATGCGGAGGCAATGGTCGCTGCGGAACAAGATCAAGAGGTTGGAGATGTTGAGCATGATGAACTCGCCGAGGCCGCCGCCGAGCTCCTGGCCAGCCTCCCACTCAAAGCTGCGGACTTCCTACGCAACAATGCGAGCCTGGCTGCGCAAAAGGACGTTGCAGCGTGCCTCACCAAAAATGGGGTGACGAATGGAATACTACTCCAAGACTTGGATAAGTCCGTGTGCAAGACACTTGCCCGGGATCTCACCGATGAAGCTAACCTGGTGGTGTTGCGAGCCCTTGCTCGAATTTATGCGCTCACGAAAAGCGACGGTGAACGAGCTCCCAAGAGGAAGAGAGATGAACAGTTAGAGGATTTTGACGAAGAGGTCCTACTGCTTCGACAACGCCAGTTTCAAGAAAAGTATGGCACTCGCGTGGCAGGGCGCTTCGTGGTGAAGCCAGCCACCTTGGCGAAGATGCGTGTGCGGAGAATGGTCCCCCTATCCGCCTGTGACGGTGCTTCGATAGTGACCCGTACGGGATCTACTCATACATTTCTACTCGACAAGACTACGGGTACCTCCCGACTGGGCGACGAAGATCACAAGCCCTCTGATGACGCTACCTGCCAAGCGGCCGACTTCTTCTTGCGCCTGTCCAGGTGGGGCTTATCGGCTTGCCTGCTCGGCCAGATGACCCCCACCGAAGTCTTGTTGTACACCGCCAGAATAGCTGAGCTAGGACGCTGTACGGGTGTCTCCTGTATGCAAGCGGCTGACGCTGAAGTTCGCGCCGAACTGTCGATGGGTAGTTCTGACGATGCGTGGGGCAAGCAACTAACTGATGGCCACCAAGATATCCTGTCCAAGCACAGGCAGAACGGGCGAGCTTCAATAGCTCTCAATAAATCCTTCCACTCGGGTGGTCATAGCTCAAGAAGCTCACACTCCCATGCCTCTACAAATCGCCCGAGACAGACTGAAGTCTGCAGGCAGTACAGCCGTGGTAATTGTCGCTTTGGTCGCAACTGCAAGTATCAGCACATCAAGCAGCAGGAGCCATCAACCAGGATCAAGTCCGAGGATCATCAAAGTACGTCGAAGAAGCACTGGCATGGGTTCTTCATCGCTGCTGATGGTTTCCCTCCTTTGCCGCCTTATCGGGCAGTCGCGCTCGAACTTTCCTGCACTAATCTTCCTGCTGTGCTTTTTCTCTCACTTGATCCGCATAGTTAGCGATTAGAGAGTAGCGTGTGGCTCTAAGCTTCTTGCGCTTGTTAGTCGGGGGCATGGAACAAATAAAGTTGTGGCAAACTCAAAAAGAAAACGTGCCTCTCTGTCAGACTCGCAAGCCCGCGAAGAACCACTCCAGCAGAGCCCGACACCCACGCCGAAGATCACTCCTACTAGTACACAAGTGGGTCAAGA